ACTTACACAAGCATCTTGATGCATCTTAATAGTAACATTTCTTTTTACATTTTAAATAAAAGAGTGGTTTAAACGGGCTTGAAACGAACCTGGCTGCCTAACCTGCCTATTTTGACAGCAAATGCCATGTTATTGTGCTTAAAAACCTGTTCAGCACCATACTAACCTGATGGCCTGAGTCCTTGAGATGTGACTGTCTAGGTCAACGAGCAGCAGAAAAGAATAAGACTAGAATAACTGCTGGCTATGAGTGTGACTCACTAAAAGGTCAGCAATTAGAGCCCTGTTTCACAATCCAACAACAAACATTGACTATTAGTTAAATAACAAAAAGCAATGCTTTAGTCAAGTAATACATCAGCCAAAATACATTAAATTATACAGCAGGTCAAACCACATGACTCTTCATTTAGATACCTGACCTTCTGACCTCTGTGAAGGGCAAGGCCTCTGTTTATCAGCATGCAGAACAAAAAAGCACAGGGTGGAAGCAGTTTGAACCCACTGAATCACAACACAAGCTTGACAAAATACTGAATTCAGGTTCCAGTGTCTGTTATTCTCCCTCACTGTATGATAAATGAAGGCCTCTATAGAGATATTACTTTACACCTGTTGGTGCTCATTTTCCCCACTATATTTCAGAAAAGTCAGAAGAGCAGTTGCAGTTATCCAGTTGATGTCCACAGTCTCATTACACATGAACAGTGACACAAGAGCTCAAGATGACAGGGCTACAGAGCTCATAAATGTTGTAATGTGTCCCCGGACAGAGTAAAATCACAGCCGGATCCAATTGAAGTCTGTTAGGTGTGAAATATATATAAATAAAAACAATAATAATTGAACAGTATAATATTTATAGCAAGTATAATATTATTAATTATATGTATGTGTGTGTGTGTGTGTGTGTGTGTGTGAGTGACCCTGGAGCACAAAACCAGTCTTAAGTCGCTGGAGTATATTTGTAGCAATAGCCAAAAATACATTGTATGGGTCAAAATTATTGATTTTTCTTTTATGCCAAAAATCATTAGGATATTAAGTAAAGATCATGTTCCATGAAGATATTTTATAAATTTCCTACTGTAAACATATTTTAAAAAAAATTTTGATTAGTAATATGCATTGCTAAGAACTTCATTTGGATAACTTTAAAGGCGATTTTCTCAATATTTAGATTTTTTTGCACCCTCAGATTCCAGATTTTCAAATAGTTGTATCTCGGCCAAATATTGTCCTATCCTAACAAACCATACATCTATGGAAAGCCTATTTATTCATATAATATATATATATATATATATATATATATATATATATATTATACATCAGCTTTCAGATGATGTATAAATCTCAATTTCGAAAAACTGACCCTTATGACTTTTGTGGTCCAGGGTCACATATTACTAAATCACAAGCAATTACTATACATTTACTTTTTATTACAATAGTAATTTTTTCCATCAAATCGAAATATGGGAAAATGCAGTTAAAGTATTGATTCTTGCCATATATTGTTACAGTATCATGAGGTAAAATATCATAGCAGCTTAAAACATCAATTTTATTAATAAATACATAATTTAAACAAATTTCAATCAATTACTTTGACCAATGTTATTTTGAAAATCGAGGTATAGATATTCAAACACACACATACACTGTCATCTTAAGACACATTTAATTTATTGTGAACTATTATGGCAATACTTTTTAGAAAAATCGTAACTCATTGCGACAACACAACAAGATGCTTGAGGCTTGGGGCTTTTGGTCTTTCGAGAATAACTGAAATGTATGGTAAGGGCTCAGAGCTCTGCAAGGGTCCCTGCACTCTGTGTGCAAATCTGACGAGATGCATTTGCTCCTCCGTGAGCCGTAAGCTCCATTGATATCTGTACGCATGACATCAGGGTGGTAGTATGAGCTGGGCTCAAAGAGGTCAAGAGTATCACTTCAATAAGAGTCAAGCCCCCCTCATGAAGGGAAATAGCTTTCTACATATGAAAAATACAGCCTCTCAATCTTGCCTATTCGAAAGATAAAAGATCAAATCATTTGTAGATGGCTGTATTTTTAGCATGGGTATTTCAAAAAGACACATAACATCAGATCTACAGTCACAAAGCTTTAAAATGAGCACTAAATGACTTGTCTGGGGGCTTTTTTCTCTTACCTTTTTCTGAAACTCTATGAGAGGCAATTGTTCAAGTCACACCCTCTCATTCCTCCAACAGAGCAATATGAAACATGGCGATTTAGTCTGAAGCAAATTTAAAATGTGAAGAACTAAAACCACATCATCAATTATATACCACAAAGAAGAAAAAAACACTTCCATGAATGAGAAACTGCATCTACATACCTGAAAGATATCTGTATGCAGGTAAATAAGCACTACAACAGATAAGAGTTGAGGCCCTTTCAAGATAATTGCACAATAAAAGTACATCAATGCTTTTTCCATTTCTATTTGTGCTTCGCTCACTATTTTAGTGGATGAAAACTACTCAAGGCAAACAATATCATTTACCGAAGATGAAAGTGGACCCCTACAAAAACGATGGGCATCCCTGCTGTCGGAATGATCTAAGACCAAAACGTGACCTTTAGCACAGCTAATGATCTCCAGTCCACTGAAGATACTGAGGGGGTCCTTCGCAGTGCAAATGTTACGTGGGCTTCTCTCTTTAATTTCTCTCCAGATCTTTCAAGTGGATCTGTAAAAGGCTAAGCGCTGTGGGCACGGCTGGCAGCACCCAGGCGCAGGCGAGCGGATGGGTTCTGCCTGCCTGGGGATGCGTTGAGAGGGGATAAAGGGATAAAGAGCCTCTGCTTTGGGACTGATTACTTACATCTGCCCTGTTAAATCCTTGCATGCATACGCACAGCTATTACTGTTTACTTTGTTTACTGTTTGCAAGTATCCTGTCAGTGTGAGTGTGTGTATAAACAGGTTTGGCGATACTTGTGAGGGCCAAATGTTTGAAGATAATGCTGTAAATACAATGAAACATGTCATAAACAAACTAATGAGAACATCTGAAGAGGTCATCATTATTTGAGATGTTCGTAAATCAGCCATATGTTTTTCTTCAATTCTCTTCATACCAACAGTTTTGTGTTGGCGTTAGGCTTAGTGACAACAGATGTCAAAATATGTAATGGATTATATTACAATTGCACACACAATGCAGTTAATGTTTATACATGATTATTTACAATTAATAATCTCACTTATATATATAGCTCCTGATTTTACAAAAGTTAGCATGATTTTTTTTATGTATGAGGCCTACATCATTGCTTATTGCTTTACACGTTAGATCTACAGATGTCTGATTTAAAATCTGTTCATCTTTCTGCTGTAAAGATTAGCTGTAAAGTGCCAACTATTGACATATTCAGCTCATTATGACTGTGACAGAGTGTGTAGAGGAATATTATTTAAAAGCCTTTCAGATGCATGAGTGCATCCTCAAAGACAAGACAGCAACAATGTGTGTTTGTAAGAAGAACCCGTTTTGTTTAACAAAACGCTGGTAAATCAATATGACAATCAATGCACAATAGATTGCCAAGGCACCACCGGACATCAGGGGTCATGGATCTTCATGCTCATCTCAAACGACTCAGTTTAGAGCATGTGCAGAACACGTAGTGACGGTCTGTTTTAAACCTAGCAAGATAGCTTCCACAGATATTTTAACGCCTTGGTAATTTACACTTTAGTAATTACGCAAACATCTAGCTACCCATTTTCCCGTGCATTCTCATTTTCCCTGTTGTCACACATATGAAAGTATGGTGATAAATGCCGATTGATTCGCTCCTCATCTCCCCAGGCTATCACACTACCACAAATAGCACATGGTGAGAGGCCAAAAAGTGCCTTGTGCACGAAGGAGAAATTTTCACATTTTCTCAGTCGTTACTGTTTAAAAAACAACCCATAAGAGCATGAAATTTAATATGCATATGCACTTCATTAAAATAATTACCTGTAGGCCTACCCTTTGCCTAAAGTGTTATTTATTAGGTCGTACCTTCGTAAGTCAATTAATAATTTCAATATGGTATCAGTGCTGCAGAACTATGAACTGTCATAGATGTTGATAATATAAGATGACAATATCAATGACAACGAAAAACAAAAGGTTAACCTCATCAAATTCAACAATTTCATTCCATTTGGAATTACTGAGACCTAGAATTAGTATGAAGCACTCAAAATATGTATTTATCCTCAAAGACCTTCGGTCATATAGAGGAAAAAAAAGACAGGTAAATTAATTACTGCCATCTTCAGGTGTAACGAAAATCCGTACTACCCTGCTGGACAAAAAAATTAAAAAAATTAAAATCTTGACCCAGCCTAACCTACTCTGCTGGTCTCCCCAGGCCAGTCTACTTGCTCTTGGGCACTTTTCAGTTGGGCAGGCTGGAAGACCAGTTGAAACCGGCTAAGACCAGTAAACCATTTTAGGCTTGTAAACTGTTTTTTTTAACAGGGTTTAAAAACTGACCCCTAATATAATAGCAAGGAATTTATTACTTCTGTTTCATATACCAGTTTACATGAATTAATATCCTTGTGTACCTAATAGATGCAGAATAGATGTCTAATAGATGCAGAACTCATCGTGCTGAATGAACCAGCCACAACCCGCTGATAAAATGAGGATTAATACTGTCCCGTTCATGCAAATGAGCAAGACAATTGTTTTCTGTAGGTAACGGATGTAGGAATACATGCAGCACTTATATTCCATAACGAGCCACTGGCACGTGCGCAGCTCATCGAGACAACACCTGTGTACACTTCACTAGCACAAACTTGCTCGGTTTTGCCTCCTCCAAACACCTGACGGGAAACAATCTCTCGACACTGCACAAACCCTAGAGAAATCGCGTCTTCCACATGAGCGCGCGCCGAACGCACACTGCCCGCAGTTTACCCCCGCGACATGCACGTAGACGTTAACGCACGCACTTACCTCCGTGTCGTAGATTTTGGTGATGAGCGAGAAGGAGTACTGCCTGGACTCGCGGATGTGCTGGATGGCCAGCTGAACGGCCGGCTCGATGCCTTGACTGATGCTGCTCATCAGCGCTGATTCATTCATCGGCATCAGGACCATGATGGGCAACTTCTCACCATCTCTCGTGTACCAGTTGTTGTCCAGGCCGTGCCTTGTGTAATCGTTGCAGACCTTCGCCAATGCAGGATGAAATCCCAAGACGGACAGGAGTAGGCATCCCGAAAGAAAGATCATGTCACATCTGCAGTCCCTCCGGGACGGAGCCATGCTACCGAACAACTGAGATCCACCTTCTCACTGTCCTGGCATCGCAATCTTTAGGTTCCTCTTGGATGCCGCGATCAGTCCAAGAGAAAAGACATGACATGCAGTAGGCTACTACAGGCTCTCGCGCACTAGATCTCGAGAGTAGAGATGATGCGTAAAACCAGAAGGTGTCCAATCGCAGGGGTTATAAACTAAGCTGCTTCCCCTTTTACGGGTCCTTATCAAATCCTGCCCGATCCAATCCTTCCTTTCACCTCCAATACACCACCGAATGCGCACATCACAATCCACCTCCTGTGCGTTACGCAGAGGTGCGCGCTCTCTGATTCGAGTCAACCGCTATTGCGAATGTAAATGTAACAGCCGAATATATTCCGAGCAGGTGAGGAGTTGCATCCCCATGTGAAAAGCGCATAGGTGAGGCGGTGGAGGGCGAGCCCTGGTATGTAAAAGCAATCCGAGTGAGGATATCCGTGTGACTCCGATGCTGCAGCTTCGGCGGATGCGCTTCACTTCTTTCGCGCGCTGGCCGCGCTGTGCATGTGTGCGTGCGCGCGTGTGTGAGCGCGCGCGACGCGGGCAGAAAACATTCTTCACCGCGAGCGATGTTCTCTCAAAAAACAACCGACCGACAAGGGAGCTGTTCACTCGTAACGCGTTCAATAACCTACACACTGTCTCCTCTGAGGTAATATGTGAGGTAAATTGCCCACCTGAGCCCAATAGAGTGCGTTGTAAAATATGTAAGTTAATCAGAACGTAAACATAACCAGAGTGGCGTCGAGTGTCATAAAAGCTAGTTTGTTTTGTTGAACGATTCCATCGTGAGTATGACTTGACATTCTAGAATTAAGGGCAAATCGTTTTACACATTGTTTTTTGTTTGTTTGTTTGTTTTTTGCCATCTACATACAACATTTCAGCTAAATAAACACTGCCACCTAGCTATAATAGCCCAGTATGTGAATAAAGTTTTCTTTTTTTCATCAAGTTATTACGCATCATTTCTAATTAAGCAAAAACCGCGCCGTTCAGACATTTAGAGTTTAACTAGATCTGTTTTGCTATGAAAATAATAACAGGCAACAAATATCACAACAGTTTAGCAGTAATGATATGCCTCTCACTGGAAGTCACCTCTGACTGAAGACTAGACGACGAAGGTGCTTGTATTAACATATATTCATATTATCATTTTCAACAATATCTAAATATGTTTTACACACACATACATACACATACAAATGACCAAGCAGGAAACATAAAAGCAATATAGTAGTACTACTTGCATTTAAATAACTGTTTTTGTTCTATATTCAACGAGAACTTGACCATTAATTGGTGTTCTGTACATGTTTTTATTTATTTATTTTTTATTATTAAAGAGGTTCACATATTCAGATGTGCCCTGCAGTATGACATGCTGTACATAATACTAATTTAAAAATGTTAATTATTATACATGCAGTTTTTCATGAATAAATATAAAGTGAGGGACTTCAAGGAATATTAATACTTCTAAAAAATTCACTTGTCACACCAGCAGGACTATTTAAGTGAACTGCAAAAAAAATAGTTGATTATTTGATGGATGGATAGACAGATAGATGCACTGCATCATGGTAGGGGCCTGACAACATTAACAAAGTATGATACCAATGATAAGAGCACTATAAATCAGAGTACCATACAGCCCTAATATGGTAAATCATAAAAACAGCCCCGCAGAGGAGTGCACTATCAGCGTATTGGTAAACTGAGGGCTCTTATGCTACTGGTTCGATCACTATACGGAGATGCATAGCCTTGCTGACGTCTTTCACCACTGTCTGTGTATTGCTTTCTGTTGTGTGATTTCCAGATGAAGAAATAGGTCAAGTTGTTATCCCATCTGTTTGTTTTATGCAAGACACCTCCCTCCTTTCTGCTAGAGAATATAAGAATCAGGTGCAAATGTGGTGGATTAAAATACAGGGACGCTCAGAACAGAAAGTGGGAAGATCAAGCCAAACAATCATAAAAATGTAGCATTGTATAAAATCAAATAATTCATAATTTAATTTGATTCATTTACAGATTTTCTTTTTATTCATTAGCTGTGAGCTGATAAATAACTTCTCAAGACATTCACACATACACATCTGTGCATTTTACAAATAATTTAGATTGCAGTATAATATTTAATCTCCAAAATAAAGTTATTCAAGTTATAATAAGGACGGTAAGATTGCAAAATACAATAAAAATACTGTAAAAAAGTAATATTGTAAAATATTATTGCAATTGCAAATAATTATTTGCCATTTAAATACATTTTTAAATATTTATTCCAGCAATGGCGAAGCTGAATTTTCAGCAGTCATTACTCCAGTCTTCAGTGTCACATGATCCTTCTAATATGCTGATTTGCTGCTCAAGAAACATTTATTGTTATTATTATCAATGTTGAAAACTGTTGTCAAAAGAACAGCATTTACAGTATTTGAAATAGAAATCAGTTTAATGCATCCTTACTGAACAAAGTATGAATTTCTTTAAAAAACAATTATAATAATAAAATCAAAATCTTACTGACGTCAAACTTTTATATGTAACTACAGTATATTGTCAAATGTGAAATAGAATGAATGTATATTGTTAGACAATAGTCTAAAAGACAGTATTTATTGTGTAGATGGAAAACAGCATAGATACACAATTATTCCTTTATTATATCAACCTACACACTAAATTAGTAAATAAGTACATCTCAATATATTTATGGTGAAATGTCTCAAAGAACCTGCATTAATGCCCTGAAGATCCTGCGAAGTCCACACTTGATGCAGGTGAACACACAGCTTATCTGCCGACATGCCACACACACTCACAGTCCTGTCTGACATGTCTCCACTTAATAGAGATTAATGGGACAGCCCGAGGACATTCTTCAGTGCAGCACTGCCAATGCATTCCTGCTGGATGCATCCTGAATTTTGAATGTCGTATATTCAAAACAGCGTCAATGAAAAATGAAGCCTTATGAAGTAGCCATGCCAAGATTTAGCCATTTATTAAGGAAATGGTGTCATAAAATGTTATCAAATGTAAGTGATAATCAGTTCAACAAACATTCATTAAAACGTGATTTACTGTATGACACTTCAACAGAATCATGAAAATTTAAGATTTGTTATAGAAATTATATTATTATTTACAGAGGGAGTATTTACAGTATTCAAAAGTTTGGGTCAGTGTTTTTTTATTACTTTTATTCAGCAACGATTCATTAAATTAATCAAAAGTGATGGTAAATGTTACAAAAGATTTCTATTTCAAATAAATTCTGTTCTTCTGAACTTTCCACACATTGCATAATCCTACAAAATATTTTATATTAGATATATTTACTTTTTTCCCCCCACAAAATATAAAACAGCACAGCTGTTTACAGTATTGATAAAAATAATAAATGTTTCTTGAGCAGCAAATCAACATATTAGAATGATTTCTAAAGACACTGAAGACTGGAGTAAGGACTGCTGACAGTCCGGCTTTGCCATCACAGGAATAAATTATATTTTACAATATATTCAAATACAAACAGCTATTGTAATAATATCTTACAATATTACTCTTTTACTGTATTTTTAGCTAAAAAAATCAGCAGTGGCAGAAAAGGCTTCTCAAAATCTTTACAACCCCAAACCTATGAACGGTTTATATTCCTGTTAACACTGACTTCTTGAAGTTTGTGTATAAAATCATATCAACAGCATGCCACTTTATGCACTGTAGTTCTTTTTGACACACAAGTGTCACCTGAGCATTGTCATTCTGGGTGAAAAACTGAAATTTTGCTTTCTAAGTGGAGAACTAGCAAAGTCAGTGCAGCTGATCACAGGCTCAAATTTCAGTGGTCGTGCTCTGGTGAATACTCTATGAGCTGCTGAAGTCATCCTGAAGGCCTCATACATTTTCTCTGTGATTCCACCGGTAAAACAGCTTCTGTCTCTGGGGAAGGTACCTCAAGTCTCTCACCAAAATTGAAAATGAAATTGCAGTGATTAACTTTTCTGGTCTCAGCTTTCAAACCTTTTTGAGTTCTGAGACTATCGCTTTTGCACTTCCAGAGCAGACTTGTGCCCAAACTTCAGAAGAAAAAATAACACACTTTTAGGAACACTTTATTAGAGAGCAGAATATGAATGATGTTGACCTTGAAGAATACCAGCACGAGTCTAATCACAGTATAAAAAGCTTCTTGTGCCTTAGAGTGCTCTATTGAAAAAGGAGCCATGCGCTGTGATGTATTTCCATGGGCAAAAACGTGCAATTGTTCTTATTTGTTTCTGGCACGCATATGTAGGTCTAGTTGGGAAGGTTTCA